ACCCTCGACCCGAAATCCTTCCATAAAACACCCTCAGCTAGTTCAGCCTAACACCGAAACAAGCAGTGCAGCAGTGCAGCTTGTTCTCCAGGGCATATGCTTGGAGCCTTATGGTTGCATGTGGATGCTGTCAGAGGCACAGTCGGTCTGACACGTGTTTCGTCGTAGAACCACACATACTCCCACTGGCACGTCAGAGTGCTACGGTCGACACATCCCTACTACAAGCTGACCTTGCGCCCGAAACTCTAGGCTACGAGCCATCTACGTAGGAAATATGACCCTGATTCCCGAAACCTGAAGCCCTACATATAACCCGGAGCCGCAGCCATTTTGATGCAAGAGTTGCCTAGTTTTCCAGGACGCCTCCCGGCCGGCAGAATGTCCATCGCATTCACGCATTCCTCTGTGAAGCTTATCTACAGCGGCGTTTGTGTCTCTGCGGGGTGCCAGACGCTGCGCGTGCAGCAGAGGGCGGAACTGGACAAGGAGAAGAGCGCCAACCCAAGCCGGTCTGCGCGGCTGGCAGTCGCAGCGACATCTGTTGCGGCGAGCCAGTCACGCGGACGTCGGTCCGAGCGCAAGAGCAGCTCGAAACGTTTGGCCGGCGTTTCCAATTCGCCGTCGACGTGGGACCCGCTCATACGTTCGGCCATGGCTTTGATCGTTCTCGCCTGCCTCATTTCATCGATCGTGGTTGGCGAGCAGGTAGATCTGGACCACGCCTTGTGTTTGTTCGGCATGTGGTTCGTCGTTCGGCGCATCTTTTCCTGCGGGGGACAGAAGCAACAGGAGGGTGCTCCAGAATTTGTATGATTTGCAAAGACTTCCCGCTGCTTTCTAGCCTCATCTGGGAAGTTCCCAGGGAGGTCCCAAACCCTGCAATCCACAACAGCGCTACTGAATCCGGAGGGAAGCCTATAATAGTACAGCTTTGCCCTTACAAGTCCTGTTATCTGCATTTCAGCAACTAGCTAGTGCGGCGGGGAGCAAACTTGACGAGTTCCAACGTATGCGATGCAGTTCGCCCTTAGCTGCCGTGTCAAGGATTCTAAAAGCGCTTCCTATGCCCTCGACATCCCTCGACTGTAGTTCGTAAGGTCTATGTAGGGCTATATAAGAGTTACTGAGGGCCAGAGAAAGAAGTCACTGCCCACGCGGCTGCGGGCACAGCATGCGACATTGACATCGCAGGCGATGCCTCGAGGCTCGCTGAAGCTTCGATGCTTAAGTGTTTCTGAAACCGGTCCAGTTTTCCAAGCAACGGACCACTGCATGTCGAGGCGAGGGGAATGCAGTGAATTGCCGCAGTGAAACACAGTAATGCTAGCAATGTGTCGAAGGCCACTGTGCCCCTCGCAGAATTCCTTTCGTGCAGGCACTTAGGCAGGATTGGAAGGTATCGCCACGAAAAGATTCAATTAGCAGCAACAAATCCAAACTAATGACTAAAAATTACAAGAACAAGAGTAACAGTCGAGTATGCGGGGGGCTAGGGCAGCTAGGGAGGTTGATCGGGGTACACGAAATCATCCCTTCTCCTGCCCTGTGCCTACGTGCCATAGATTCTCCTGCGTAGCTGGCACGTGTCATTCGCGTTGTCCTTGAGGTCCCGTGGCTGATGCCAAATCAGCCGTTCGGGGGTTAGGTGGCCTTCACAACCTGAAACTGAAACCTTTCTTGAGTTGATTTTCGGTGCCATGGGACCGTTCGGGAGCAACTGGCCGGAATGCATCGCGAGGATGAGTCTGAAACCAGTAGCGAATAGTGGCGTCAATAGTTAGAACTGACTAGGCAGAGGTGAGTCAGAGGCAACTTCGCGATAGAGCCGATAGAAGTTTCAACAAAAATACGTCGGGGCTGCGCCTGAGCAGATAGGTGTTTGGAGCTTGCTCCTCTACGGTTTAGGGGTCCACGGTTGAGGGTTGAAATTTGTGGAGGCTTCGGGCGCCTCGTTCAGAGACAGTCTGGCGAGGGAGGCGAGGACAGGGGGGATGTTCTACATTTGAGATCTGTTTGCGGATTGTAGCGACTACTGAGCTACTGCAGGTATGCTGTGGTAGTATCGCTTTTTCGAAGAAACCCTGAACGTGTAACCCAGAATCGCAAGATCCCTCTTCGGCGGACACTTCTGTGTAAGAAGAGTGGGCACCGAGCCCCTCCAAGTCACGCGCGACAGTGGAGCTGTGCAACATGTAGTACATGTAGTTGCAGCTTAAAAATTAAGCCATAGGGGGCAGAATAAAAAGAAATCGTGTTTTGTTGGGTACAGTCCCTATGTATGTGTACGTGCATACATACATGCATACTTGTCGCTTGAGTCGCTCACTCACTCACTCACGCACTCACTCACTCACTAATTACTTGCTTGCATACTCGCGTACAGACATACATGAATACATACATGCATGCAGACATTTATACAATCATACTGTAATGTACTGTACATACTGTACATGCTTGACATACTATACATACTATGCATACATATGTACACACATACAGACATATTCACACATCCAGGCATCCAACAAGACAGGCAGACAGACATTCATTATTTCATTCATTCATTCCTTTATCTATCTATTCATTCATTCATTCATTCATTCATTCATTCATTCATTCAATCATTCATTCATTCAATCACTCATTCATTCAATCACTCACTCATTCAATCACTCATTCATTCAATCACTCACTCATTCAATCGCTCATTCATTCACTCACTCATTCATTCACTCACTCATTCATTCACTCATTCATTCATTCATTCATTCATTCATTCATTCACTCATTCATTCATTCATTCACTCACTCACTCACTCATTCATTCATTGATTCATGCATGCATTCATTCATTCAATCATTCATTCATTCATTCATTCCTTCGTTCATTCATTCATTCGTTCATTCATTCATTCATTCATTCATTCAATTCCTTCCCTCATTCCTTCCCTCGTTCATTCATTCGTTCATTCATTCATTCGTTCGTTCATTCGTTCGTTCATTCGTTCATTCATTCGTTCATTCCTTCCTTCCTTCCTTCCTCCACTTCATTCATTCATTCATTCGTTCGTTCATTCGTTCGTTCATTCGTTCATTCCTTCCTTCCTTCCTTCACTTCATTCATTCATTCATTCATTCAATTCCTTCCCTCATTCCTTCCCTCATTCCTTCCCTCGTTCATTCATTCGTTCATTCATTCATTTGTTCGTTCATTCGTTCGTTCATTCGTTCATTCATTCGTTCATTCATTCCTTCCTTCCTTCCTTCCTTCACTTCCTTCACTTCATTCATTCATTCATTCATTCATTCAATTCCTTTCCTCCTTCATTCATTCAGTCGTTCATGCAATCAATCACTCACTCATATACACACACATACATACATACACTTGTAATGTATGTGTTCACTCCTGTTTTCTTTACATATGAGTATGTTCTGTGTTCAGGAATTCTGTCCAACTCCTCCACCTAGGAGACATGAGCAAAGCTCGCTGTCGACGTCGGGGCTGCGTCTCCCCTTGAAGGGGTGGCGGGGCTTTTGAATTTGGTTTGATTTTTGGAGAAGAGTTCTCTTCCGAGTGGTTCACGATCGGGCTTCAGCTTGAAGCAGCTGTTTGCCCAAAGGAGAGGTATGCTTACGCCTGTCCTGCGGAGCAGAGGCACCGGCAGGGCAGGGACTTGTGAAGTTTGGCGGAATTTTAAGATGCTGCCTGCCACAGTCAAGCAAAGTGCTGGTCACATGGCCAGGATTCAGAGGCCAGGTTTCAAACCCCAAACAGTGAACTCTAGGATGCTAGGTAAACTCCGGCATCCAAGGCTGCGGCTTCTGGGTCCTGGGGCATATCCAGCACTCCTCTAGTCGAGTGAATCTGCCTTAGACCCGATCAGCTTGCCGGTGTTGAAATAAAGGTGTCTGCAGATTTCTGAGTGCTTGAGCCAAGGGAGCCAGGAGGCACAACGAAATGTGGGCACTACGCAGGACTCGGGCCAAATCCACGGAATAGATGATCTCGCTGGCTATCAAGCTGGCGAAGCTGGAGCTGTTCTGCATGAGAATGAATGATTCGTGTGTGTGGAGACACTGCTCAAACCACCACGGAGTACCTGAGTACCTGAAGATTTTGTCTCGGTGTCGGCTAATTGGAACAGCACGCAGACACAGTTGAGCGTCCACGTCTTGTAGATTGTTAGTTTTTTTGTCATCTAGCCGCTCTAGCCCATTGAAATTACAGTGCAAACCCGAGCGCGACTCGAGTAGCATGGTGAACTGCAGGTTGGGGGGATGGGTTCACCTAGAATGCCCTCAAGGCAGTTGTTATTCTGTCCGGCCCGAGCAGCCTCGCCCGGAATGTCCGTCCAAAACCTGATCGTGGAACAGTCCTTGGATGAGGCCTTCAGCGGGCAAAGCTCGGCCAAATCTGCGGTCGGCATGGCAGGCGGTTTCGAGACTGCGGGGTAGGGTCAGCAGGTTTTTTTCGGGGTTTAGGCTTCCAGTCAGGGTTTCGAGTTTGGTGTGCTTCAGGGTTTGGGCATGAGGGCATGTGCACTGCAGCCCCTCCTCGAAAAAACTGTATATAAGGTGTTCTGACCTCAAAGGGCTTTTAACAAACAAGTGTTTACGGCGCGACCATGGGGCTGATAGATTCCGTCTCAGAGTTCATATGAGATTGGAGCGCACAGCTGGATCCCGACGACTATGCTTCGAAAGCAGTGGTTGGCGTATAGGCCAGTTTTTATCTGGCGCATTTTCCGAGCTGGTCCGCAGGACGAGTTAATTTCAATCAGTATGAATCATCTAGCCCCGAAAAATCCCAAGCTGAACGTTGGGGGTTCCTTGGCTGCGTGCTGCTTGCTCTTGGTATCCACAGAAACAGGTTCGACTCTGATCCGAGAAGGGCATTCTGATCGCGCGGCATGCTGCATTCCTGCATGTAAATCAGGATGAACTCACATGTTGGCACCAATGAATCTTGGTTCAGATACTTGACATATCTCATGTGCTCCTCGCTCGCAATGAACTTCTCTGTGGATCACATATCTACGAGGCCGCACGTGTGACTCGGCCCCGTCATGCCAGGAGAAGGCAAGAAACCCTAATCAAGGGTTACTGTAATTATAAGGGTTTTCTATAGAGACTATAGAGGCCTTTGTTGTTCGAGCGGGGTTCTGCAGGGATTCGTATATAAGACCCGACAAGGGGATGCGACTCCGGATACGATTACTAATTACTAATTATTCTAACCGAATCTGCAACCTCAGGATTGGCAAGGCCCGCTACTTCTCTTGATCCGTGGTCCTGGAGGGATACTACCAGTACTGTCCTTGCACCGGAGCTTTAAACTAGTGTTTATCGTCAGCACTGACGAAAAACACCAGGCAGCAGCTGCAGTACGACTGCAAGCGAATATGTTGACAGTCATCAGCAAGTCATCAGCCATTGCCATTGCCGCTTGGGTTTACTAATACGGCGCAGGAAGGCTCTTGGAGCGGCTCGATGATAGTGCTCACAGATAAAACGGGCTTAAAGTGTGTGGACGGAAAAAGAGAAGACTCGCTTGAAATTCGCTTCAGGTGGGTCGTCGATGGGGCAGTTTCCGAACGTTTCCTCGATTTCGTCGACAACCAGCTGGCTTCCAGCGAGGGCACCGTGACTAGCGAGCTTCGCAATGGCAAGTCCATCACGTCCAGGAGCTGCCTGTCAAGTATCAGTAATGACATAACATTTCCGAAGCAGCACAATGTGCGTCGTGACCATGCCGTGATTGCCATTCGCAGCTGATCGATTGAGCCTCCTTAGACAACTCTAGAACGGTCGGAAAGCCCAGGTGTTGAGTTCGGCGTCGACGACGTCTCACGGCAACTTTTCGAGACTGTCGCAGGCTTCTGGGGCTTGCCGCCAGAGCAGTCCATCGAATCCTTTGTGGTGTCTGATGCTGGGCTCTTCTTGCGGTAGGCGTTTAATTTGGTATCATCATAAGAAGGAAAACTCAGTACCCTATTTTGTCTGTTCCTTCTTGTACCCTAAACTTGGCCCTCAACAAGAACCCAGGACATTTGTGGCGAAGGCCAAACCCCGCATGTGGACCACATCAACCTCGATGACCTGCCTGGGTACAAGCTGGATTTCCTGGACTTGACTCGTCAGAGTACTTCCCCCATAAATCCGAGGAGGGTCGTGCCTACCATATCTGTTGTCGTCTACTTCAACTCGGTTGGTGGTCTTCAGTTTCCGCATTCGGCAGACGAGCTTGGAACCATTGCGGCCAAACGTGGCAGGATTGTGGCGTGACATGCAAGACAAGGTCGAAGCAGTGACAGGGCGTGCATCGGAATGCCGCCAGGCATACGCACACTTCGGCATCCGAGGTCATGTTTCAGAACTACGTTGACACAGACCGTCCGTACCACGACTCGATGGCTGCGCACTGCGGTGGCTTGACAGCTCCAAAATATCCTCTCAATCATGCCTGGGTACATCGCCAGAATGCCCTGGCCCAGTGAGGTATCTACTTGGACAGCTTGCCAAAGAGAATCCTCGTCATGGGCTCCTTGGACCAAGGCACTGCTTCCAAACAAGTCACTAGCGTGCCACGCTGCATGGATCTTCCTTGTCTCGCCTTGTGTGACTTTCAGACTTCATGGTGCGACATCGTCGAGTGCTTCTTGTTCGTCTTGCAGCTAGCAGCTGCTGTTTGTTTATATTTTTCGTTCAGTAGCTCCGAGGCATCTTGGCCAACGACACGCCAAGCTTTTCACCAGGAAGGCCTGAGTCGATCTGCCCGAAGCCCGGTCTGATCTACTGCCCTGGAACTGCACAAGATCCACTCCGCCACGACGCCCCATCTTACGACTGCATCTCGCTTGCAGAAGCTTCGGCCTACAAGATACTCGTCAGGCCACCTTTCCGCCTGCGGGCTGAACCCCAAGCCCCACAACCTGCACGGGTTTTCAGGCGTGAGTCTAAAGGAGGGTCCCAGACTCCACCGATTCATGCTACAGGCCTCCGCAAGAGCCATGTAAGTGCGAGATTGCTAGTTTCACACACACACACACACACACACACACACACACACACACACACACACACACACACACACACACACACACACACACACACACACACACACACACACACACACACACACACACACACAAACACCCACACACACACACACACACACACACACACACACACACACACACACACACACACACACACACACACACACACACACACACACACACACACACACACACACACACACACACACACACACACACACACACACACACACACACAGCATGCATATTGACAGTAACAATCGTAACCATAGTTGAGATCGCGACTACGACTGTGCAGGCAGAAGCCTTGAAAGTTTTGTGAAGATGAAACACAAAAGCTGGCACCCCAGGCCCTGAACCCTGCCCTGGCTGTACGAATCCGAACACCCACAGATGCGAGATCATGAAGAGCTAAGATATGAGAACACGCGACGAGATGATTGAAATCGAGGCGGCAAGAGAACGCGAAGCTGTGCCTTGGCTCCGTGAGCACTCTCGGGAGTTTGGGCTCAGTGCTTTGAGCTGTGTCGCTCCCTCGAGGGGACAAGCAGCACTTCTTGCCGATCACTTGACACGACGGCGGCTCAAAGCCGGCCCATGGGGCTTGGAGATTCACGGCGTAGAACCCTATTCGCCCCGAATCCCAAACTCCAGTCCTTGCCAGCTGCTGAGCTTGTCCAACTCCCAACAACCCTGAAGCCTCGAAGGCAGGAACGCTTCAGGGACCGAAGCATTGTCATAGCACTACGGTGTATCACCCAGAACGGCTCATTGACGAGTGTTCGGGCGGGAGTTGCTCCAAAATGCAAACCGACAGCCGTAGATTCGCCCTCTCCCGGCTTAACTGTGCTTTCAACCGAGAGCAGAAAATCAAGCCAGAAGCTGTGGCAGTGTCGGCAGCATGCATTACTCTGCCTCCCTCCCCTCCTTCTTTTCTGCCCCACCCAAAAAAAAGGGCAGATAGCTGCAAGCTCCTCGTCATGACTGGCTACTGGCGCTTCATGGGATCATGGGACACAGACTTCGAGTGTCAAGCCGAGCAGTTCTTCTCTTCTTGTTCGAGGAAAGGGATCTTGCCTCCCAATTGCCCCCCAACCACACACACAGAGCTCAGTAGCTCTACTCGCTTCCACAGTTAGCATCCAGCCCCTTCCGGACCTTGCCCAGGCAGCGAAGATGAAGCCGCCAACTCCTCCGAGAGTGCCGGGCCCAGTGGGAGATTGCACCTGGCTGGCTGCCTGGCTGTGTGTCTGCTCCGCTGTCCGTCTGTCTGTATGTCTGTACGAATGTACGTGTGCATGCATTGCGTCCGAAGCATTCGAGAGCAAGAGAGGAGGTTATAGGTCACTTCCAGAAGCGTGGCTGCACGGAGACATGACATTGTCGCGGGATGTCGCGGGTCTTTCGAACGCTCTCAACGTTAAAGGTCCCTCAGATTCCACAAGCAGACATGAACCCGAATCGCGCAATAGTGGTGGCTACATGTTTCTGCAGTTTCGGTAGTCGTCGGATGGAGAGTGAAAGGCTTCTGCCACTCGAACCCGCAACAACAATCAATCGGCAAGAATGTGTCACGGCCAGGAAAAAAGTTAAACGCAATCCTGCAATCACACGTCGCAGCTGGAACCCACGTTAGCTCTCTCTACGGTCTGTATGCATGGGCTGCATGGGTATATGTATGCACGACGTGAAAAAACTTTCTCGGTAAATGGAGGCAGTTATGTCCAGGCATGTTGCTTAGTCTGTTTAACGTGACTGCATACACACAGATATGGTCTTCGTTTGTTAGTATTGGTTTGGGTGTGGAACATACTGCCGCGTCTGCAATTTTAAGAACACCGTTTCTAACACCCTAAACTGCAGGCTGGTCCTTGCTACATACGATAGAAAACACCCTAAACTTAGCCCTAAGCCGTTAAGCCCTAAACCGTAAGTGATGATTATGTAATTATGTTGTTTGTCTATCTATCCGTTTGTCTATATATATACATATATATATAGGTATATGTATGTGTATACATATTCTTTATATATATATATATGTATGTATGTATGTATGTATGTATATGTATATGTATACATATATTTGCTTGTGCAGTCTGGAGCCCCAAGCAACCGGTCGGATCAGCTGAGTGTGCAAATGAGCTTGTTACTGTCATTATTGGTATTGGTAATGGTATTGACCGATAACACGTTCTGATTATTTGATGATTTCTATTGCTGCCATTGTTATTATGAATTATGAGCCCACGATTATGATTATTGTCTGGAGGTCGGGAGTTTGCAAGCAAGTGCAAACTGCTGAAGTCTTTCGGGGCTGCTTTGAATCTCAACAGTAGGAGCCCTGCTTCGAAGCCGCAGAACAATCCTGAGACATGTTTACGGACATAGGTCCCTTTAGGGTCTTCTGCTAGTTACACTGAGCAGAGGCGGAAGTACTCTTGACAACAGGTGCCCCAGTGGAGCCCTGATCTACATTATCTCGTGGTAACCCCCAGCTCTTAGACGCATAACCCGGATGTTTGTGAGCCTTTCGGTTCTTTCTCGGCTTTTCCTTGAGGCGAAGCGGAAGGATGTGCCTCGGAAGATTGATGTATATTTTGGGGAAGATCCAGGGAGAGCTGCCAAGTTGACAGGCGTTCGTGAAAAAAAGCGCACAACTTGGCCTTCATGTGATGTTACATCGTGTGCGTGTGCATACGCACACACACACACATACGCATGCACACAGAATGAATACAGGGCAGTTGCCTTTCACTTCAAGCTCAAAGTCCCATGATCTTGCTGTTCTTCGTTTGCTCAGCCAGGCCACTATTAAGAAGACTACTTTGTTTTTTCATTCCTGATCATGGCAAACAGACCGGCGCTCCGAAGATGCCAACTTCTTCTTTCATTGTAGTCAGCTAATATATCTCATGGTATACTATAGTAAATACAACTTTGCGTTATTTTAGGTCATATCACCTTAGTATACTGCCCCCGGCAGTCCGAAAGGCGTTGAACCACATGGTTTGTAGAGTTGAGCTACATCCGGCTTCCGATTCCGGACAGGACTTCTTCATGCGGCTTTGATGCACCACTCTGGTTAAACAGGAGCAGCAGCAGATTGCTGAGGGCTGACAAAATTCCTTCGTCATGATCAAGCAGTCTCACAAATCGCCCGGCAGGGCGTAAGATCTCGTCAGGGAAGCCATGCTGCTTGACACAACTGTGTTCGAGGCCGGTGACTCCCCGCCCGTTCAACAGGGCTCGCCTTGACGGGATTGTCTAGGATGGTTATTGAGGTACTTATTTGCAGGTTTAGAGTTTAGGGGTTTAGGGTTTAGGGGTTTATGAACTATTTTCGACAAAGGCCTCAACAATTTCGCGACCCTCCTCCTCTGGGTTTGACACACGAAGTTCTGCCAAGGACTTCATCGTTTTCCTCGAGGCACGCTGGGTTTGTTCCGGTGATGGGGGCGTGGGGGGGGGGTCATGGTTGAACGCTTCGGGTTCCGTTCGGATGGGACTTTGGGTGTGAATTCCCACCTACAGACTTCAGTCCGAGTCCTTTTCCTTGCTTCCGAGATGTTTTCGTCACTTAACTTAATGAGCTCGCCTTCACAGGCTATACATCTGAGGCTTCATGGAACTATTCACCGAGTCCAGACATTTGCCTCTCTCGAAGTTGTGTAGCCCCTGCTGCAGATCAAGATGGCCAAGCCCAAGGAAGCAATCGTGAGCATCATGTGCAGGACATGCAATCCGTGGTGGAAGGCTAATGTACGGGTTGGAAAAGATTAGGATTTCTGGGGGCTCCTTGATACCATTATCGCATACCCTCATCCAGGAGGACCCTATGTTAAGGTCATGTCATAGAGCATCGAGCAAGACATCATGATTGAAACTGGAACGTGGTTAACTAGATAAACCATCCGCCATCAGCACAACGACGTTCTGTGATTGTCAAGCGCCGCGTTTTGTTTGTACTTCGAGCTGTGCAGGCTAGTGTGTTTTTTGGGCATTCCGGTCACTTATGCGTCTCTCTTCCTCTTTCTCTTAATCCCCTTCGCTCTCTTACACTCAGTCCTCTTTCTCCTGGATCATGAAGGCGGGGTCTTGAGGTATTTATTGAGTGCCATTCGAGGAGCTTGGCTGGGACAGACCTTTGCTCCTTGGAAGCCGGCGCCGATTCAAACGTGGGAGCGCTCCGTTTCTCGTTTGAAAAGGCTTCAAGGGTGATAATGCAAGGTTGGGAGCCTCGCGTGCAGCTGACGAGTCATGCTGTTGATCAATGTTTACTGCGGGGAGGTTGGTCTTGCTGCCTCTGTTTGCTGAGCATGCTACAATGGGGCGATCATAGACTCGTAGATCGAGTGAGTGATCAGTCGGCGTTCGATCTCCGCCATTGTGCAGATCGGTGCATGGTTTTCGTGTCGTACGTTGTCGTCCCTTTTTGTCCGGCATTATCATGTTAGCTCACGGACTTCATATGCACGGCAAGACCGGCTGGCTGACGGGGTCGAATGCTTGGCTGAAGCCATTCGTCTTTGGTCCGTGGATCATGACTTTGTTGTTTTTGTGTCATAGGCGCGATGACAAGACGTCGTTGCCGTCACTGACACCATTGTCACTGGTATTCCCAACATGTGAATGATTATGTCCACTACCAGGCATGCCACCGTAACATTGCCTGCATCGGCTTCATCATCATCTTCATCGCGATAATCACTATCATCATCCTTGTCCTTAGCTCCATAGTGATGGCCATGATGATCAAGATGGCGGTGAATCTGACGATGATGATGATGATGATGACGGCAATCATCGGCATCATCATCACCGTCATGACGGTGACGATGTTGGTGTAGATGTTCATGATCAGGACCAGCATCAAAATCACAGGTCGTCATTTTGTTGATCGTTCGTTCTTACCATGGCTGCTGAGCCCAAATCCCTGTGGCCGGATGCGAATGTCAGGAAGGCAAGTCGAGCGAAAGCTCGATCCGGAGGACAAGACAAACGTGCCTAGGCAAAGCACGGGCATAGACAGGGTGTCGGGATTCAAAGGTCATTCTGGCGGGAGTTCATGCTTCATATCAAGAGTCCGCATCCCCGGCAGGCAGTCTTCCGAAAAGGAGAATGCCCCTAACCCCATGTTATATAGCACTACTGAGACGACAGACATCGCTGCAACCATGTAAACTAACATTGCAACTTGAAACCCTGGTACTTGCGCAATCATCAACATCCTAAATCCCAGCATCTTGTAGACTGCGAATCCGGGGCTGAAGCCTTCCCCCCTGATTTCAGGCTTGCAGATCTATAGCTTGTGGGCTAGAGCTGCAGCATTATTCGTGCCTATCTCGGGCTTAAGGTTCGAACTTCTGCATCGTACCCTGTCCTTGCATTTGATGCCGCATCCCTCGGGTTTTGAAGCAGCGGGGTACTAAGTTTTGAAGACCCAGAAACCTGACGGGGCGTGCGAACTAGGGCAAACGTCAGCCGGCCATCTGAACGAATAAGGAGTCACACAGATGTGGAGCCACTTTGATCCAAAGCATTCACCAATGCGGAGTCAGAGTTTTGTTTGTCTCTAGGGAACTGCCTGGAACCAGTGGCTAGGTCCGGCTTAACGTTCAAGGCGGGGAGTGCCGAATCTAGGGGTCAGATGAGCGGCTGCTAGTATGCATTTATAGTTCCTGTACAGCCATACTACGAGACAAGCTGCCCAAACGAGGCCCCTATAGTATCTTTTGATGTCATAGTCTGCCACATCTCTCGTTGAGCTTCTCGGTGGCTTCGGCATCACGGAGCTTGAACACCAAAGTCTGAACTAATCACCTTGGGCTTCGTTTGGCGACCTGCACGCCCCTCTCGGCAGAAGCTGGTCGACAGTCCCCCGGAAATCCGAACATTTTGTTGTCAATTGTCGCGGCAAAGCGTTTTTGCTCATGAGGTGTCAGAAGGAATGTTGAGATCCGGGCAAGTCTGGCAGTAAATGTCTGAAGAGTATCATCATGTTTTTGACAAAATGCAAGCGAGTGGTATTGGGTTTAGGAGTTTAGGGTTTAGGGTGCCAGTGCGGTGAAGGGCTTCCACGGTCCAACTTCCAAGCGAAGTCGCAAGCATGCTGCAAGAAGGGAGCTGTCACCCAGGTGGTCTTGTGCATTCGCACTGAAACCTTCGGAAAGGCAGACTGGCAGCTGCAAGATTTGGTTGATGGCTTAGAGTTTTGTGTTTTGAGGATTCGCGCTTGGAGCCTCGTCCTGAGAGTTCAGCGTTGAGGGTCTCTTGCAACGGGTCTCATGTTGACGATATAGTGATGTTATCAGCTTTCAGCCACTGGAGCTTAAGCAAGCACCAGGCTTTGCAGGTGCAAGCTTTGTGGTCAGATGTACTTGGACGTTTCTTGGAAGTGTAAAAGCAGCCTCCTTTTGATATGCTAGAGGTTTCGTGTCTGTCACGTGAACCTTTTAGGTAAGGCCCTCGGGATCCAAGCATTGGACAAGCGCAGCAACCGAGCCTTATGAGGACTTCAAGCAGAACCTGTTGCCCCCTGGCTCCATAATTTGAGAAAGGGCTCGGAGGCGTGAGCACTAGACGAGTCCGTCACCCTGAGCCCTAAATCCTGTCCGTTTCGACGCTCACTCGCAAAGCCTTTCCATTTCCGGACCCGGGACTTGGCCAGGCTCAAGATGACGTGAAGCTCTCCGAGCTGCTGCCAGTTTCCATCGATGAGGTCAAGATGGCTTTTGCCAAGGCTGGGAAAAGGTTTAGGGTTGAGGGTTTGACGCACGCCAGCGCAGTCGGCGCCTCGGTTCCTGGCATATGCGTAGTCCAGGTGAAACGGTTTGACGTATCCAGTGCCTCAGAGAGAGAGAGAGAGAGAGAGAGAAAGAAAGAGAGGCTGCAGAGTTTATTGGGTTTGGGGTTTAGGGTGGTCAGAATCAGCTCGTTCGATGCCCCGAGCCGGAATGCGACTATTGCTCAGTCGCTGGGTCGCTGTCTTAAAGCTCCCGTTGCATAGTACATATACTCACATACACATACATGTACATACATATCATGGGTATCATACAGATCTACGTACACACATACATGACATACATACATGCATACATACAATATACATACATTACGTATATACAGACAGACACACACACACACATATATATATATATATATATATATATACTTACTCGCATAGACAATATTTGCTTGATTCTCGTTCACTGTGCAACTTACCCCGAAAGCCGATGTAGAACAAGAGGCATCGAACCATTCGCACCGCATGCTCCAGGGTTACGTGCACGAAGATTTGAGTGTTAGGATTGGAAGCTCTGGCTTTCGTGGTTAGGGTGGAGGCTTCAGTGAGTATAACCTAAACATCCCCAGCATATGCTACCAGGGTTCGAGTCGGTAGAGCGAGATCGGGATCACGAAGGGCAGGCAACACCAGGCGTCCAGCTTCCTGAGTGTGGGGTTCATGGCCCGGAGATCGCACTGGGTGAGGCTCGGTCTGCAACGCCTAGATACGCCTAGCACGAAATGCGTGATCAGCCGACAACACGCTTCCGGGTCTGATGCTGTGCACCGACAAAGCCGCCAGCCAAAGACTAGGCATTCTGTGTGCTTCGGCCCTGAGCCCAAGATTCCTTATAGCCAAGACTGGCGAAAATGGGTGATCGTGACACCAGGCCGATTCCAACAAGGACGGCTTCCTCGACAAAGCAGAGCAACTCGGGCGGTTGCGAAGCAGGGTCGTAAAGCCGATAATCCCTCTAGCGGTTCACTTCGGATTTTGACATCAACAGCATAGACTTGATGGGCTTGGCCAGGGTCAGCAGCAGTGGCGCCACCGCACAGCCACCGGCTGTCCCCACCACCACCCATCACCACCAGCAAAAACCAAACAACGGAGATTGCGATAGCAACCACGACAAGAGCTACAACGACACGACATGAACGACGCCGCAAAGAACATACGATGATCGTCTGTCTCTAGTCAAGAAGACGCCCATGCACCCCTCATGTGCACAACCTCGGCCAGTTTCCATGACCACATCGGCCAGAGCCTTGTATTGGCCCAGGGCGAAAGCGATGTTGAAGCAACTCGCGGACGCGATACCGTCGATCATGAGCAATGATGAGATCGTGCCTCGTCCGGAACTGCTGCTAGGGCAGACAGTTGGGCCATATAGCAAATGCAGGGACCCCAAAAGGACATAAGCATAAGCATTTTTTAGGGATATCACTACCTTATTGGCCCTTCATTACAAAGGGGTGTACATGGGATATCACGGGATATCCCTATCCTAATTTCTGCTTATGTGCTTTCTTGGGGCCCTAGTAAAGTTGAGAGGTTTCGAAGTTGGGGACCTGGGTTGTCGACACGTGCGCCCGACTGCCGAGTAGTTGCTACAACCCTGTCACAACAGCGACCACTCACACCTTAGGGTTTAGGGTTTAAGAACACATAGGAACACTCTCACTTCGCAGACGTAGCGCTTGTAGACCATCAAGACATGTTTAGCGAACCCCTCCACATCCGCAACGCTTCCAGCAGAAATGAAGCTTCAGTCCTTGACTGGAAAGGGATGGAAAAGGTTTGGCCTGTCTTGACAGCCCAGGAGCAATTGTTTGATGCGGTCGATACCGATGCAGACGGTCGACTCAACTTACCGGACTGGGGCAGGGGGGGGGGAATCTGTGCTAGGTGCTCGGCATCTGAATGAAAAGTAGACTTGCAAAAGTCGCCGACTCAGAGACTGAGAGAGCGAGGGGCGGAGAGAGACAGAGAGAGAATCTTTGGTGAAGCTTGACGGGAGAAGGTCACGCGCACACACACCATCGTTTCCGCGGAGGCTACGCAAACAGCTTTCTGGCAACCGTGTGCAGACTGAGTTCCTGCGCGGCAAAACTGAGCCAGGAACGGGTATTTGCGCACACATGCCGAAAGCTCATCAACATGAAAGCTTCCTGGGCTTGTCGCCATGAGCGGCTAGCATTCCCAATCGTGTGGAGGGAATTAGTTATGTGTCAAGAGTAGTACGTATAACTTATACATAAGTGGTCCGTCCTTTCAGAGACTACTAGGGAGTCGCACGTTTCGGTGCAGTGCGAAGGCTTGCGGTGACACCCAGTGCGCAGGATAGGCGAGGATCCGGGGTGTAGTGATTGGAGGAACAGGTGCCAGAAAAATGCGACAAGTTCGTGGCCTTCTGGGCTGCTGTATGGGTCTCATCGAGTCATAGACGGATGCATGAAGGCGGCTCATGGAATGTCATAACTGAGTCATAGGTTACTTTGTGCAGCTGACATCCGGGGCGGAGATGTGCAGAGCTTCGCTAAGTTGTACTGTTAGAGTTAGAGGTGCTTTCATGGATGGCCTGACTGCGTGCTTTTTTATGGAGGAGTTCATTGATTGGTGCTTCGGTGTTCAAATGATCGGGGAGAGTGAGAAGAACTCACTGAAGGAGGATTTGAAGCGAGCCTGATATGCTCACATTCACATCACTTTTCTCATCCTTGATGAGTCTTATCAAGCAAGATCCGCAAATTCTTAGTATGGCGAGATGAAGCAAGAGCTGCTTGCAGCTGGTTTGTGATTGAGATTATGGCAGAGCGACCTCGCAGATTTGGATAGCTTTACCAGTGTTGTTGTCACGTCTACCATCATGAGCTGCCAAACGGCTTTCGACGTTGTCTTCGCATGATGAGTTTCCGCCACCTAGTTGATGTATTGATCTTTTTCTATCACGCTCTGAGGATTGCTACCGGGGGGTTAACCCAAGACTTTTTCAGACGTTTCACCTGCCTGCAAATGCAGGAGACCTGAATTCCGGAAGTGCAGACTGCTACCAGAGACACATTTTCCCGAAAGCGTTGGCGAAGGGTTGTTTCAGCGCAGGTGCTTCGGTCTGTATATGATGATGTGATGACACGATGTTCCGATGTTCCAGTTTGCTTTCTTAGCCTTAGATGCTGTCCTAATCTATGGGCCGCACCCGCTATTTTGGGCGCGGGCGACCCATTGTAAATTGCCAAGCAGATGCCGCGTCTCGGTCTCGAAGATGGCAACCCTATCAGAATTTCGTGCGATCGGCACGACGACACGACACCTTGCAAATTCCAAAGCATGCGACTTCTCGGTAAGTTCCAACCAGGTTGGCTGCGTGCGCGGCGCTCGTCCTTCCCTAATTGTCATCCGGCAGTCCTTGGGCGAAAGTATATCGGTCTTGCCCCTTAAACCCACCAATACTTGGGGGAACGGGAGAAGGCCATGTTGTCGTGCTCCAGTACTTGGGGGAAAGCATTTTGGTATTGCTGCTGAATCTGACAGCACTTGGTACAGTACTTGGGGAAAGGGAAAGCAACTTCCCACTGCCTGGGCCTTGAAATGCGAAAATTCCGGTACTGAACGTTTTCCAAAGACTCCTGGAAATTTGGAGCCTCCAAATTCGCCATGTCGAATACACATGCAGTACTACGTACACGGAACTCCTTTCTGGGCCCTCAAAATCGTCTTTCCGAGTACAAGTCCACTACGCGGAATGCTTGCCGAAGTTTGTTGGAAAGCCTTCCAGACTGCTGTTTTCCAGCGCAAACATTTGCTGCTTGTGTCGACAAGAAGTGTATATATTCATGCACGCAGGGATGCGTGCATGCATGCATGTATGCATGTAGATGAGACTCTTGCTTGATATTGACAGCAGTATCCAGGTCAGCAGCTGGATGAGTGGATAGATGAAAGGATGCTTCTAATCACATCAGTAGATTGGCCAGATGCAAATATGGATAAACAGATGATTCGATCCGTTGATGGATGGGTGGTCTCCGTTCATGCGGAATGTTACGACTGCATGCATTCATGCGTGCATACATGATACGCGATTCACGTCGCTATGTTGTTTTGCTTGTGAAACGCTTTCGGGACACCCGGGCGCTAGTTCAATACGAGGCTCACACGGTCGATTTCGAAGCAGGAAAAAGCCAGCAAGGTGTCCGCGGGGTCGTTGTTCCTGATTGGTCGTGTCTGGGAATGTCTCAGCGTGCAGGTTGAAGGTTTGGGATTAGATCCCCAACCCCCTACACCCTAAATCCTAAACCCTAAACCCGAAACCTTTCAAGACACCACACGCCTCAGGCATCCTCGACCCCGAGCCCGGCCCAAAGACATACACACTAAACTAAAACAAGAAAAATCCCCAACATGTTTAGCAACCATAGATCCCCGACGAGGCTGGTAGCAGCCTGTCGCAAGTTGAGCAAGCTGCACGGGGCCCGGTACAACGGGATGCTGCACCACTCCATTTTCTCGTCTTTTGCTTGTCTAATTTCTGGTGCAATGGTGGGTCTCGGTTGAGTCTCGATGCATACCCTGATGAGGTCGCAAGTATATACATACGTTGATACACCTGCAGAAACGCCTACCGAACACTCGGAATAGGACAAGTAGCATGAAGTCGCAGTGGCGGTTCGTGCAAGTGGGGTGCGCCATGGCCGAGATGAGGTCCAGGAATTCTTGGACGCATGCAACTCTCATGACGTACTTGCGGATACTTGGGGCAAGGGCCCCAGCAATCGGCTGGGCTTTTCAGGGCCTGACTCTGATACAGCACTTTGCAGGTAAACTTGGCGGTTCAGCTAGCAAGTCCCTAGCTGAGATCTGGTTCCTCCGAACTCACCGGCGCGTCCATGCCCATGTCTGTCCGAAATCGCGGCCCTTTCTCAAACGAATCAATACCCAATGGCAAAACATGCTGGTCTCGTGACCGCTGATTTAGGATCACTCAGGGCTTGGGACCTCCACCCGACACGCCAACCACAACAACAGCCTAAATGCCGAAATCCGAGTTAAGAACAGCCGGTAGCAGTTCACCCAAACAGCTACAGCAGAATATACCTCAGGTCATCCTTTCGCAGCTCTCCGCCTGCCTGGAATGCCCGACAGCGGTGTTTGGCTGATGCCTTGGAGAGCCATCATTTCTGTTACTTGCTTGTCTGCCTAATGTGGATGGGTTATTGTGACTTTAAAGCCTCAGCCAGGGCTGCCGAGACTCAACAACCCAACCGAGACTCAACAACCCAGCTGACAGCGGTCGGTATGCTCCTGTGCAAAGACTCCAATGACATCCAATGACTGCAGCCCTCGGTTTTCTATCGGCACGCAGAAACCACGAGAACTCCCAAATTCGCCAAATCCTTCAGGCAGACCTAGAGATGCTTCTTGAGGTTTTGAGGTATTGCTACATTGTTGTAAGTAGTTATTATATGGGGACATCCAAGAACAACAGGCGGGCTACAGTTACCAGTTGCAAGTATGCAAAGCTCGTTACACCCGTGTAAACCTGCAAAGACAGGGGTTGTTATTACTAAGCGTAGTGTTGCTGCTCATTTGTTTGCTCTGTCCCGTATCGTTGAGGCGAAGCACCGGCAGCAGCGATAGCGGCGACCTGCACGAAGCTGAGTGACCCTTTTTCAGAGCTGGCCTACAATAAAAACAAGGACATCTGCATACAGCTGCTTCGTAGTAGCATTCGTCCTAGCGGCCGCCCTAGCCTTAGGATATTTGAGCCACCTGTGCGTTGCTGAAGTGGCCAGGTGCTGGTGTTTGCAAGCTGCCGCTGTGTCGGCCTTGGGAATTCGTCCAGCAGAGTACCGTACTACATCCAACATCGTTCGAATCCACCCGCTGCAAGCCCCACAGCGAGGCAATCTGCTCGTGCCCCTGTAAGTCGCAATGACAGCGTCCACATGGGTGGTTATGAAAATAGTGGTCCCTTTGAGGATACCCTGAATATTAGGTGCCGTACTACCATCGGGACCCAAAAAGGGACCATAATTTTGGCAACCGCCCACCTGAAAGTTGGGCAAACCGTATCCCTGCTCGAGCGACGAGACTGATGCTAGACTCCGAAGCTTCCGGGCTGTTGAGCCTATATATATATATATATACACATATATATATATATATATACATATACATATACATATATATATATATATATATATATATGTATAGATACAGATATATAGATATACGGGTATACAGATATACAGATATAGATTTAGTTGGTAGTTGTGGACTTTGTCTTCAAGGGCTGATCGTAGTAGGATTCTGTATCCTTGCGACGTTTTGGCTCGAGAATCTAAGTCAGGCCTAGTTCTCAGCAGAATCACAAGGACCAAGGCCGAAGAAGGTGCTTTGAGATGTCGTAATCGGTTATAGGTTCTGAGATCTCATGCCTCAGAGAGAGAGTATGACGGAAGACCAGATCCGTATTCCCAGTCCGGCTCCAAGCAAAGGCCCCCCCAAGGTTTGAGTTGATAACTCGTCGTTGGAACATGGGCCGATCCGAAGAGAATGCCGCACCTGCCCGGTGGCATGCCTTCCTGGTCTTCGCATGCTGCTTCTATACCAACGATACACAGAAGACCTTAGCACGAGAATAAGGGGGCGGGGTTCCCAAATTGAAGGCTTGGTGTGCGCTTTAACGGGGATGGAGTGTAGTTGTATCATTGAAGCTTGCTGCGCCTTTCTCAGCAGTCGACAAGCAAGCCCCTAAGATTCAGCATTGTAGCGGTGTCTTGGTGTTATACAAAACCAAACACATGTCCCAGGTTTGTTTCAGAAGAGCCGCTGCACGGCTCTCTCGTGATGGATCCCCAGATTGAGACTACTACAATCACGAAAGACTGTGTTATCAAGTGTATGGGTGGTTCTCTAAATTAGGCTCCCTTTTTCGTCCCCAATATAGTACGGAAGCCTTATAAAACGGAGCCTGAAAGGGACCCTAATTCAGAGAACTACTCACGTGCGTTTCGGCGCATCTTCTGCGCACCTTCGCGTGAGCCAAATGCTGAAGACTGAATTGAAGCTTGCTCTCGTCACTATAGTATATAGCATCTGATATATTGGACTGTCTTATAGTATAGTTCAGTATGTTATAGTGCATGTTTGCGATAGCAAAAGCATGTCATTGCTATCTCTAGCATCCAGCATTGTCATACTCCGCGGGCCCGGGGAACATAGGTGGCGGTGGTCTAGAGAAAGTCGATAGTATACGAGTAGTATAGGGGCCTCATTCATGACCGTGCGATTCTGGGGTATATTGTAGTAGACAGTCATGATAAGGACCTTGAACAACGGTTACCACTAATGATTCAGGGAGGTTGCTGTCTTACTAGAATGCGCTTGACAAGGATCAAGGTCGAAGCCTTTGTGGAGACCCTCTGCAATGACTGCCACCACTGGATGCTTGAGGAGCTGCGTCCTGCCGCTTTGACAAGCATTTCTTTCAGTATGGGCTCATCAGCAACAGCTTGCTTAGACGCGTGGGAGGGTCTCAATGGTAGAGCCCGTAAGTGGCTTACCAGATAACCTTCCTCGGTATTCCTCAGTGGTCGAGGGTTTTGAGTGTTCTACACAGCTCTATAAATTGAAGACGGCGACGGGGGTGTAGGAAAGGAACAGAAGCCGAACAAACCGTGTCGT